TCTGTTTCTTTGAGGCCCAAGAAACAGCACCACCACCAAGCATAAAAATCCAACCACTTGTGGATTTATTATCTCCATCACTAGTTATCCAACTAGCATCTGTGTATCCCTCAAATACAGTAGGGAAATTGCTATAATGTAAAGCATAGTGTTTAGTTCTTTTCATATACCCAAAAACTCTTCTAATTGCTTCCCAATACTTTGTACTAGGATTACTAGTAAACCTTGCTAGTTTGCTAACCGCAAATGCAATGTCAGGCCTAGTACAATGAGTAGCATACATCAAACTACCTATTGCACTAGCATACTCTAGTTGAGCAACAGCTCTCCCATCATTCTTACTAATTTTACACGATTTATCATATGGAGTGTTAACTTCTTTGACCTTCAAATGCTCAAATTTCTTAAGTATCTTCTCAATATAATGTGATTGACTCAAAGAAAAACCCCCACTGTTTCTTTTAACTTTGATACCCAAAATAGTATCAACCTCATTTAAGTCCTTCATATTGAAACATGAACTCAAATAAGCCTTGGTTTCATTTATGTCTTTCATGTTTGTCCCAATGATTAACATATCATCAACATAAAGACATAAAATACACCATAATCCTTTGTAAACTTAGTATATATACATCTATCTGATGAATTATGAACAAATCCATTAGATAGAACAGTAGAGTCAAACTTTTCATGCCATTGTTTAGGAGCTTGCTTTAAACCATATAACAATTTAAGAAGCTTACACACCTTTTGCTCTTCACCAGGAAGTACAAAGCCCTCAGGTTGCTTCATGTACACTTCTTCATCTAAATCACCATTTAGAAAAGTAGTCTTTACATCCATTTGATGTACATGTAGATCATAGATGGAAGCTAAAGCCAACAATACTCTAATAGATGTAATTCTTGCAACTGGAGCATATGTATCAAAATAATCTATTCCCTCTCTTTGTCTATATCCTTTTCCTGCAAGTCTAGCTTTGAAAATCAGTACTGATCCATCATCTACATTATGTTTTACTCTAAAAATCCATTTACATCCAATTGCCTTGGAACCAGGAGGCAAATCCGACAAGACCCAAATCTTATTAGCCATTAAAGACTCCATCTCGTCATTCATTGCTTCTTTCCAAAAAGAAGAATTTCTAGAAGCCATAGCTTCTTGATATGTCTTTGGATCATCTTCAGTTTCAACATTAAAGATTATAGGAATTTTATTAGTAACACTTTCTCTATTTCCTTCAACAAGAAAGGAAATTGCTTGAGAATTAATAAAATTTGGACCAAAGTTCTTTTCCTTTCTAGCTCTTACACTTCTTCTTGGTTCAGTAGTTGTATAAGGACTTGTCCTTACATTGCTAGAAGAAGGATTAGAATCTGATACTATTCGTGGTTCTCAATAATGACTCATTGATAACATTGGAATCACTTCGAAAATTATTTTCAAAAAATTCTACGTCTCGTGATTCCACAATAACATTTGAGTCTAAATCCAAAAGTCTAGCCTTTGAATTTTCTGCATATCCCACGAAAACACTTTTCAAAGCTTGTACTCCTAACTTAGTCTTCTTAGGGTCTGGCACCTTGTAAAAGGCTAAACAACCCCAAACTCAAAAATAACTAATGTTAGGTTTTCTTCCTCTCCAAATTTCATATGGAGATATTTTTCACTTCTTTGAGGGAACTCTATTATGTACATGACAAGTGATAACTTGTTATTTGGCATGATTTTAGGGTACTTTTGAACCTTGTTTTTGTTATTAATCGACATCAAAGTTCATTTTTTATCCTATTTTTATGCAAATTTTGTACCATCTATGCTTCACCGGTTGTTTGTGTTTTTGATGTAATGTAGCTATTTTTAGCACTATGGACGTGATCAAGCATCAGTGAGCAAGGATAAGGGCAAGCTTGGTTGATAGAGCCATGGAGGAAGAAGGAGGAATGCCTTAAAGGGAAATGAAAAGCTTTTGGAGAACCTTGAAAGATCGTTTGCGTAAGCGTCAACTTCAACCAACCATAACTTTTGATCTTCTCAACCTTTTGAAGCGATTCAAATTGTAGATTAAAGCTCGTCTCAAGAGCTTTCCAACGACTGGTCACAAGTCCATTTCCGACAAGAAACGTAGAATTTACAGCTTCCCAAAGTTAAGCTGTCTAGGCAGGGCATTCTGCACGGACGTGCAATCTTGCGCGTCCGTGCAAGTCTGCACGTCCATGACAAAAGCTGCACGTCCGTGCAGACCTTGGCAGAAGCTTTTGCCTCCATTTTGGCCCTCCTGCACGTCCGTGCCAAACTTGGCACGGCCGTGCTGAGCCTTGCACGCCCGTGCCAAATCTGGCACGTCCGTGCAGACCTGCAGTTGAGCTCCTTCCTCGTTTTCTCCGTCCTTTTTATTTGGGGGTCATATAAATACCCCTTTAGAGCTCATTTGTACGGGAGGCAACGTTTTTAGAGCTTTTTCTTAGTTTTGTAAGCATAGAACATTAAATTCTCAAATCATTAGTTAGTTCTTAATTATTAGCTTGGAATTATTCAAATTCAATCATTGTAGAAGACAAAGTCCACCATTGTTGCTCACTTTGAAGCTTCATAGTAACCATTTCTTACTCATCTTTTCTACTTCTCTTTACTTTGTTGTTAATTATTTGCATGTTTAGATTGTTAATTAGTTTAATCCTTAGTTTGAACTTGTTCATGAAGTGCTTGAAATCTTTAATTGCTCTAATCTCCATGGATTGTGAGTAGTCTAATTTCTAAGGTTTGGGTAAAACCCTCAATGTAGTTACTAGTTACTTGTTGCATGTAATAATTTGGTAATTATTGGGTGTTAATTAGTTGAGCTTAAGTGGTTTAATTGCTTAGTTCTTGTATATGGCCATTGCTAGAACTATTTATCCAAGCTTCCTCAACGAAGGATCGAGAGATGAACTTGAGTTAGCTCCCTTATGCTTGATTGACCCGAAATGCCATGAGAATAGGAATTACCGGTCAAGGGAATGTTTATGTCATCGTGATTATGCTTTAACACTTGTTTTATGCTTTGTAACCACGAGAGTAAGTTGTATTCATGATTCAAGTAATCCCTCTAGCTTGATAGAGTAGTTGGGTGCCTTAGATGACTTCCCCTAATTTATCCCATTAATTTACCTTGATTGTTGCATGCTAAATGTGATTTGTGATGAAGTTGAGTGGTATAACCCGAGCCCTAGATTCCTTTTAATATTGTTAATCTCCTCTTAGCTTTAGTTGAATTGAATTAGAAGAAGTTACTGAAAACCAACCCGATTTAGACTTCATTTAGCTTATTTAAATGATAGTACTCGGTGGTTGATTCAACGCCTCTTTTGGGTTCGACCCTTTCTTACCCTTACTATTGTTAGTGAGACCAATATAGGAATTATTATCTTTGGTAGGCTCGACGACGGCCTATCTCACTAATGTTGCTTGTAATTTTAAAATGACGCCATAATTTCATCCACAACTCCTTTACAGCTGCTCTCTTCTTAGGCGGGATCTCACAAGCTTTTTCCCGCTAAACTCTCCCGCTCAACTCTCTTTCTTTCTTTTTTTACAACGCTGACGTGTCGCCATATCATTGGATGTCTATGTGGGGCTACACATACACTAAGTCTATGTGTATCACCTCCTAATTTTAGAACTCTATTATGAGCTGAAACTTGAATACTCTATTGAGTCTATTCATATGCATAAACTAAGAATGATAATAGCATCTGCAGACGGCAGTGGTAAGAGCATATGCACCTCTGCAGTGCTTTGGGATTATCAGCCAACGTTTGTAGCTAGAAGGTGAACGAGTTGCTCCATACAGTAATGTAGTTTTACATGAATCCACGATTGTAGCAAGGACGAGAACGAGTTGCTACACACAGCAATGTAGTTTACATATATCAAAGATCCACAATGGCAAGTTTGAGGCACATTTGCGTGGGAAGATGTTGGCTCTAGTTTAATAGATATTGTAGATTTGTAGCTTATCAATTACCCATGTAGGAGATTGTTGTTTGAAGGGTTGGCCTTGTAGCTTTAGATGTTTGAGTTGCCAAACTAAGCTACATCTCCTTTGTGGTCTTGTGGATCTAAATCTTTAAAACCAATCACTAGCCGTGTTCAATAAATTATGCAAACAATCCTCACCCTCTTGATTGCTCACTCCATGTCGTCATATTATATATTTAATCCGTTTTATTATGGAGAAGATATGCGGCCATCAAGCGTAGCAGAATCGTAGAGCTCATGTCGAACTCAACAACCATAAGGCATAAGGCAGTCATAAGCCCATTTTAGATGATTCTACTTCACTTATTACAACCCAAGGCGCAGCAACTATGAGCGTCCCTCGCCTCAATGTCTTGTCACCAGGCAAATAGCAATATGAAGTACTATGCAAGGAGCAGACAGAGTTATCTTTTGGTACAAATTGCCCTTATAATCAACCCTAATCAAAAGTTTTTTATTCAAATATACAACTAGCTTTGAGTTGTAAGACATCCCAAAAAAATGTTGGATGGAGAAGATTCCAAAGACAGCCACCCCACCCCAAAGATGAAAGTATGAAACTGATGATAATTGTTCATGCATGTGACCACAACTCATAAAATTGATGCAGCCAAATTTAGTTCAACACAGGATGATATAATACGAGTAACTTGATTCCTAACAAAATTCAATCAATTTTGTTAAGGCATTCTTAAACCATCTAGTATAATTTCATAGCAAATTCACACCATGAAATACAAGTTTCAAAATCTACGTACATATTCACAACCTGAAAGATCAATCTGAATTCACTCTCTCAAATTGTAGATATATACTAAACTTTAAGGTATGCTGAAGGAACCAAGGCCAACACATATCATTCCATTCAGGGGTTTTGCAGCAGAACATCAAGCAATGAGCTAGGAAGTAACAAGATCAAATAGAAGAGAATCAATACTACCCTCAGATCACCAAGTATTTAAAAAATACCCAAGAGGTAACACAAAAGTGAAGGTACAATAACACCTATAAGGCTATAGCCGAAACAATAATAACAATAAATGCAACATATTCCAAGAAATTTGGTTTACTTTAAATCAAAATATGTCAAAATACTTACGGTCAAGCTCATAGAACTACAAAACTTTTCAATAGCACATAACAAAGACATTGCAGAAACACCACTGGCGACTCAAACAAGTCATCATATTGTATGAATTCTGGTAACTCAGTAACATACCAGCCCAAAAAAAAAAGAGAAAGAGTCTGTAAACTAGCCTAGTGAAGCTTATGCAACGGCAACAGGTACTGGACCACTGGAATCTACAAGATCAACTTCTGGCACCAAAACTGGAACCCTAGCGTAGACCTCATCTTCCTTTGGCGGGAGGATAACAACAACATCAGGGATTGGCTTTTGAGGTCCAATCTTTCCCTTGGGATCCCAGTCAAGCATAATCTTAACCTTGATTCCAAGCACTCCCTGTATTAAGACAATAAATAACCAAATTAGACACCAACAAAGACACCCCAAATATGAAAGATATTCCACACAAAATTCATATCTTGCCCACGAAGATTACCTGTCTAAGGAGCACGTGTCGGATAGCTGAGTCAATGTACTCAACAACTGGTTGACCTGAGGAAATCATATATCCATCCTTGAACTTCATGGACTTAGCACGTTGTGCCCTCAATTTACCACTAACAATGACCTGTTCAAAAAGCAAAAGGTAAATTTAAAGGAACAGTCATTGCAAACTATATAGGGTAAAAGGTAAAACAAGGAGATTATCAACCAACCTCACAACCCTTGGCACCACTTTCCATAACAAACCTCAAAACACCATAACAGGCCCTGAAAGAAACAAGCATACACCCACCAGAAAAATTAGAATTAGGAAAGAAAAAAAAAAAAAAAAAAAAAAAAAAAAAAAAAAAAAAAAGAGCAACCAGAAACTGTTGCATATTAATTGAGAGAATTACTCATATGGTGAAGTTTTGTTTCATAGAGGGAATAACTAAATAAATGCAAGCACCAAAAATTAAACTGCATCAGATGGTTGCACGCAAATTTGTTTTACAGATATTATCAATCAAGCACAACACCACCACTTCCAAAGAATAAATCTAAAATAAAAAAAATAAAATAAAACATGAACAAAACCCAGAAAATAACGACCATATCTTGTGCCCTCACTAACAGTACTACATGAAAACTAACATATCTCAGTAGGAGAATGAAAGAGAGGAACTTCAATATAGTCAACTTCCGACACAAGATTGGTACAGAAAGACAAATTAGCTTTGTAGATGACATTAGATGAAAACATCTGTCGTTTCCACATTCAAACAATTAACAAACATGAAAGTTAAACATATTCAATATGCACATAGCCAAAAGCTTATAAGCACATAGCCCTGTACAGATTACTGGCAACAAGATAAACAAGCAATAACAACAAGTCTGTCACAAAATTGAAATATGAATACTGAGCCAAAACATCGTTCTTCAAAGATACTTTCTATCGATCCCTGTCCTACTATTGATTTCCGTCCTTTGTTTTTCCTTCCTTTAGTGAAGGGTATAAACACTAATTATACTAAATGATCTCTATGCAGACATTAGAAATCTATCTATCTTAACAACAAATCAATAATATAAAACAAAAAATAGCTCACAACGATGGAATAAAAAATTATTCATACAAATTAAAGTATAAAACCAGGGTGATTAAGGGCTTAATAGATGTGCCCTCTAGCAGGTTTGACGTGAATAATCAAATTATCTCACGAAAATAATAGCATTGAGGATGGTTTTAATCTAGTCACCTTCCGACACAGAATAGGTACGGAAGGACCAATCTGCTTTATGGATGACAGCAACTGACGTTCAGCGAAAGACATTAAAAATGGACAAACAAGCTACAAGAACAAACACAGCATAACCAATGCACATATCACACAAAGTGTCTTACCATCCAAGAAAATCAGTTCATGTAAAAAATTAATGTCAGATGAACATCTAAAAACTGTGAATGCAGACAACCCGGACAAATTAAGCAGCAATATTGTCTTTCAACAAACAGAAACTCAACAAAAAGAAACCATCAGGATTACATAAATTCTGACAAAAACATTCATCGATACATATTTCAAGCAAATATGCTAATCAACCCAGTAACAAATAAATTCAATACAACAATTTGAAGTCAGGGAAAATTAAGATAAATCAAATTCCATTTCATGAGCACATTTTGCAGGATCTCAGCATATAACAAGTTTGATAATGAATTATTTCGCAAAATAACAATCAACCAATACATTATAAATCAACGTTCAACTGCATAACAAACGCTAAAGTTCATAGCTTTGGCATTTAGACGATAAATTTAACGAATCAAAATTAAAAAACAATGAAAAAAAAAAAGAGGTTTAAACATGTATATACCTTCTAACAGCAAGACCTCCAAGAAGCTTGTAACGAAGAGACTCGCACTGAGCAATAGCGCAAAGACCCCTGTTGTTAACCTTCTCAGCATACAATTCAACAGTGTTTTCTGGAAACTTAAACCTCTTTTGCACAATCGAGGTCAGCTCCCTAATCCTTCTTCCCTTCTCACCTAATCAAACCCAAACAATCAAACTCCCAAATCAAAATCGAAGAACCACTAAAAACTGAATCAAATGAAATCAAAAAAAAAAGGGGGGGGGGGGGGGGGGGGGGAGGGGGTGGATTTACCAAGAACATTTTGGGTACGAGTAGCCCTAATGATGATCTCAGTGCGCATAGGAGTAACCCTAACTTCAACACCAGAGTAACCATCTTCAGCAAGCTCACGAGTGAAAACTTCGTTGAGTTCAGCGTAGAAGACACCATCAGCGACGAACTTTCGCTTCTTGCTCATCTGGGTCGCCATGATTGCAGAGATCTCCGAGGAGAGAGAAAGAGAAAGAGTGAGAGGCGGATATGAAGAGGCTAACCCTAGAAATCTAAAACCCTAATTTTGGATGAAAGAGATGAAGTGAGGGGTATATTATGAGGTTGATGAAGAGAGAGAGTAAGTGGTTTTGGACTTTCTGAGGTTTTGGGTTTGGGTTTGAAGGAGATTGGGCTTTTTTTTTGTGTGTGTGTTTGAGGTTTTTATTTATATCTTTTGGGTTGACAATTATTAATGCATCTGTGTAAAAAATGTGACCCATTATAAATTTTTACAAGTTTGAAACTAATAAATCTATTTTTATCTGATCTTATCAATAGTAAAACCTTGTTTACCTCACCTTATTTTTGCTGAACTGAAATTATTTTTACGGAAATGAAATTATTTTTGCTGAATTTAAATTATTTTTATTGAAATGAATTAATTATACTGAACTAAAATTATTTTTACTGAAACTTTTTTTCTGAACTGATAAACTTATTTTTACTGAACTGATGAACTTATTCTTACTGAATATTATTTTTATAAGGTGAACTGAACAAAGCCTAACTAGGTTACGCTTAAGTAGCCAGGCTTGAGTAGGGTCAAGCTCTGCAAACTACTATATCCCCTCACTCCTCATGCCCAATGACAAGACACCTTGAGTTCAATATGAACCATGTGATTTGTTTGGGATTAAGTTATACTTCGATGGTCTTTCACTTAACACTATGTACTTTATTGTCCCTCCGTTTCATATAATGATCGCAACACTAAGTGTTGCACAAAGTTTTAGGGAAAAATGTTGATTGTTAAGGTTGGTGATGTCATGATGGTGGTGATGAGGGCGAGTTGGTTGTAATACCCTAGAAATTTCTTTCATTTAAAATACCTATTATGCCCTTTTAAAATACGAAATAGGAAAATCTAAGACATTACCGCCACCGTGAAAACGACTAAGGAAAATATCAAATACACACACAGTGGAAGACTATCTTTAAAACCATTCAAACACAAGTCAACTCAAAAAGTCAAACCAAACGAAAGTAAAGTCAAACAAAATCAAACAAAGTCAACCTACAACTTGGAACCATCGTAGGTCCTTAAAACCAAACAATACTGAAAACCTTTACGTTAGTCTCACAAGCATAATAAAATAAATAATATTCAAAGCAAATAAAACACATAATATTCCTATAAGAACTAAGCATAATTAGCTCTTCACTCATGCCCATCATGAATATGCTTCATCACCTGTAAAACTTCTCTCTACTCGTCCCCACTACTCGCCATTAGAAATGGGTTGTCGTAGGGCCAAGGTAAAGACAAGGCAAAACAAACATACAACACACAATCAGCAATGCTGAGTACATAAGCATAACAAAAACACACTAACATGCTTTCATCCTATCAACACACAATTTACCTTGTTGCACCTGTTTACAAGCATACAACATACCAAACGACCAACCAATAAATAAACGAATTGCTTATTTAATTTGATTACGCATCAAACGAGTTTCCCACCAAATCCCTGCTCCAGATAAATTGAGGTAAACTACACTGGGAGCTAATTGGGTAGGAAAATGTCACATGAAGTGACTGAACGTCCTGCACATAAAATAAATAAAAAGGAAAATACAGCATCTTGTACTCCCAGTAGAAGCTATGGTTAAATATAAAACCCCATAACTCCCCTCATATGTTCATACTCGAGGTATATACGTTCCAAAAGTTTTGGTGCGTAATTCCTTTCACTTTACGTTGCTTTACATATTATTATACTTGGTGATGACTCTCAAACCATAACACAATAAAACATTACACTTCATTCAAGCAATCAAACATACCAATTTAATGCTTGAATAATTAGTGACCACATAAATTTAATTGTCGAACCCTTTTTAACCTACCTCGATGTCAAAGACACCTTAAATGCATAATGCGCCGCAAATCCTATCCCTCGGTGTTAAATAACACCTTAAGTGCACACATGCCCGCAGTATAATTTATTCTTGTGTACTAAGACACTTAAATAACTCCTTGCTCATGCTTATAACGTCAATAAAAAATTATATGAACCATAATAAAATTTCCTTTTCATATTCTAAACCAAATTAAACATTTAGTTTAATTAAACATGTTACTGAGCAAGGGTTCCGAAGGAAGCACCCAAAGGTTGCATGTTCCCGGCATACATGAGGAGATGTGTCTTAGGGCATCCCGTTCCATCGAACTTGTCCATGTCGGGCATTTGAAACTTCGGGGGTAGCCCAGCATTGGGGAACACAACCAAGGAGGATGTGCCCACAATGTCCTCATCTTTCTCTCTATCATGCAAATAATAAAAGTGTGGTTCATAATCAACATGCCAACAAAATTAATTCCAATCACCAATTCATCATAAATAATTCATACATCACAAATCATTTACCAACATCAATCCAATCAACAAATTCCAACCAACACCTATCATGATATTACTTGGAATTAATTAAACAAAGCCTAGCATGCTTCTACATATTCAAATAATTATTAAGTACGCGAACGTACCTTGGAATACGATCTCAAAATAGCCACGACTAAATAAAATCACTCACTTAGAAGTCTCCTACAAACCAAAATTACAAAGAGGTATTAATACCTATTCTACACAAATTTCCAGCAATATATACACTCTTTAAATCACTCATAAACCCTTTAAAACAAGCTGAAATTCAATTTAAAACCTTTACTTTTATTCCCAATTAATGGGTAATTAAAAATCCTTTCAAGAAACATAATTATGCCTTATATATAAAAATTCCAGCTTTATTAAATCATCTAGAATTATTGTAATTGTGTTTAAAAACACTTATTTCAATAATTTAAATCATCCATAAACAATTTCCATCAATATACATAAACTTAGAAACCTAGGGTTTATAATTTGGGGCTTTTTAATTCAAAACCAAATCTGGAAAATTATATAAAAAATACTTATCATCAAACATCATAAAATCATCACAAAACCCAAAAACAATAATTAGATTAAGGGTAGATTTAACAAAAAATCAAAAAGAATATTTTTTTTTTAACACCGGCGCACAACACCACCACAACAGGTTGCTGCTGCTACCAGCGAGTGCTGGTGGTGGTGGCCGTCGGCCGGTGGGCAGCAGCGGTGGTGGGCCGGTGTGTGTGTGGGTGGTGATGACACAAAATAAAATAAAGGGAAAGGGGAAAAATTAAGAGGAAAAAAAGAGAGAAAATAAGAGGAGAGAGAAAGAGAGTTTACCTTTGGGTATTCTCCACCTTGGCAAAAGTTTAATTTGCCCATGTGATGGGTATTTATACTCCCTTTTCTAAAACTCTCCTAGAATTAAATCTCCTTTTTAACCTTAATGACCCCTTTCCTAGTCAAACTATTATTTTGACTTTCTTTAAAAACTCATTGACTTTAATTTCCTTTTATAAAATAATATGCCCTAATATTTCCAATCATGAAATAAAATATTTTCAAGATTATTAAATAATTAAAAATAAACTTTTAATTAAAATAATTCTTTTTAAATTAATGAAACACTATAAATAATTCATTTCGAATTATTTAATAATTTAAGAAATACTTATTTAAATTAAAATACGTATAAAAATAAGAGGTATTACCGTCTACCCCTCTTAAAAGAAGTTTCGTCCCGAAACTTGGGTAACAAAATTCAAACTTTTTCCTCAATTCAATATTATTGTACTCTTTTGTCATACTTTTGCCTTTAATGTCTTTTTGAAATAAAAATTACTCAAAATAACCGTTAAAAATGTGCAAAAAGCACAGAAATAAGTGAAAATACAGGGGAAAGGCGCAAAATTCTACCGCATTCTACCCCCCTTAAAGAAAACGAGTTACGTCCCCGTAACTCACCATACCTTAAACAACTCAGGAAATTTCTTTTTCATCTCATCCTCAGCTTCCCAAGTTGCTTTTTCATACTCTTGGTTAGACCATAGCACTTTAACAATCTTAACTTCCTTATTGCGTGTACTACACACTTTACTGTCAAGGATCTTGATAGGTATTTCCTCATAAGTTAAACTTTGATCTAACTCAATGGTTTCAGGTTGTAGCACATGTTGACTTATCAGGGATATACCTTCTTAATTGAGATACATGAAATACATTATGCACATTACTTAGCTCCATATGTAAGGCCAACCTATAAGCCACTTTGCTTATCCTTTGCAATACTTCATATGGACCAATATACTTTGGGCTAAGTTTTCTTTTTTTTTCCAAATCTCATTACACCTTTCATTGGTGACACTTTTAACAATGCTTTGTCACCAACCTCAAATTCCTCTTCTCTACGCTTCAAGTCCGCGTAGCTCTTTTGGCGATCTTGTGCCGCTTGAATCTTAGCTTGAATCTCCCTTACCTTCTTAACTGTATCCTCGATCATTTAAGGCCCTAAAATCATTGTTTCACTTATGTCGTTCCAACATATTGGACTGCGACACTTCCTTCCATATAATGCCTCAAATGGAGCCATGCCAATGCTTTCATGGTAGCTATTATAGGAAAATTTATCCTCGATCATTTAAGGCCCTAAAATCATTGTTTCACTTATGTCGTTCCAACAGATTGGACTGCGACACTTCCTTCCATATAATGCCTCAAATGGAGCCATGCCAATGCTTTCATGGTAGCTATTATAGGAAAATTCAATCAATTCCAAGCTATCTTCCCATCCCCCTTGGAAATCTATAACACAAGCCTTCAACATGTCTTCCAAGGTTTGAATGGTTCTCTCAGTTTTCCCATCTGTGGCAGGGTGAAATGTTGTACTCATCTTAAGTGTTGTACCAAAGTTTTCCTGCACACTCTTCCAAAACCTTGAAAGAAACCTAGAATCTCTGTCAAACACAATGTCTTTTGGAACTCCATTTAATCTCACCATATTTTTTATGTAAGCGTTTGCAAGTTGCTCCATCTTCTAGGTCTCCCTCATTGGTATAAACACTGCAGATTTTGTAAGTCTATCCACCACTACCCAAATGGTGTCATTTCCGCTCTTTGACTTTGGGGAGGCAAGTCACAAAGTCCATTGAAATACAATCCCATTTCCATCCAGGAATTTCCAATGATTGCACAGTTCCTTGCGGTCTTTTATGTTCTATCTTCACTTTCTGACAAGTTAGACACTTTGCCACAAATTCCACAACCTCATTCTTCATTCTAGGCCACCAATACATCTTTTTCAGGTCTTTATATAGCTTGTCCCCTCCTAGGTGTTCTGAATACGGTGTATTGTGGCCTTCTTCCATCAACTTTCTCTTTACCTCCTCACATTTCTGTGGTACACACCAACGAACTTTGTACCTTTAACTCCCATCTTCATGAATTTTGAAATCCATAGCTTTTCCTTGCTTTATTTTCTCACGAATCCTATCCAACTTTACATCTCCTGTATTAATTTCCCTTATCTCATCAAATATTGTTGGTTGAATATTTAGGTTTGCAAGTGATAGGTCTTATTTTTCACATGTTTTAGGTGGGTATCTAAGCTCATTTGATTACAAAATTAGAGATCTTTGGTGCATATTTGCATTATTTGCTTAAGTTGTGCTCTACTACTCTTCGTTTGTGTGTTTTGATGAATTTCAGGTGATTTATATGCAAATGGAGTATGGTTGACTAATATTGAGTATAATAATCATGGAGTATGAAAACATATTGCTTAAGAATATCAAAACATGTGTACGAGACGAACTTGAGTGAAAATGAAGCAAAACGTTGATGAAATACTTGACAAATATGACACCTGTTCACTATTATGCTCATAACTTTTGATATACAAATGATAATGGAGTGATTCAAATTGCATTGGAAAGTAGACTTGAAGACCTTCCCAACGATATATTACACGCCTCAAACGGAGCTCCGGATATGAAATTATGACTGATTTAAGATGATTGATACGCGCAGCAGAGCAGGCACGTCCGTGCCTGGAAGTCAGTAGCCACAGCAGTTTATGCACGCATAGAGGCACGTGCGTGCCTATGGAGAGGCACGTATGTGCCTCCTGGAGTCCTTGTGCGCCAAGAAAAGATGTTTATCTTTTTATCTTCCTAGGCCTATATATACATTAAGTAGTGTTTTATTATTAATTAAGTTTTATTTTAGCCTTTAGTTTTACATTGTTAAGAACTATTTCTCTCTATTTATTTTCTTTGCTTTTGTAATTCAAGATTCAAGAATTCTACTTTCCGTTCTCAATTTAATTCAATATTCGGTATTTTCTTTTCATCTTTAATTTTCTTAATTATGTTTTCCTTAATTATTTTTGTTATTGTTTATTTCATTATGAGTGAGTAGTTTCTTTATTCCAAGATCTAGGGTAGCCCAATTATGATTGATGCATGAATTAAATCTTTAAATTCTCTAATGACTTTTGCAATTGCTATGCTAAATTGATTGTGATTATGCCAATACTAGGTTAGACGTAATCTTAGTATTGTGATTATTCCATTGTTTCTATCACAACGAGAGTTGGGTTTAAACGGATTTGAGTAAATCAATTTTGGGTTTAATTCTCAACATGAGAGTAGTTGGGTTTGATAATTGGGAAGTTAGAGTAATGTGTTTAATGTCTCTAATATGCATGATACCATGAGAATAGGCTTGATTATATGTTAGGGAAGCCATTGATACTCGAGAGAGGTCTTTGGTATTTATTAGGGTTTACTTTTCCCCGTTCAATTGGAATTGTATGTTAGGGGTAGAAATATAATTGCATCATTCTTAATTGTGGTGATACTTGATCTTGGATGTTTTAATTATTTGATTTCTTCATATTCTTTAGTTTAATTTCGATTTTTCCACACATTAGTTCCTTAATTATTCGATTATTATTGATTTCTGCTTAGTAGGAATTTGAGTCTATTTAATTATTTTTGAACCTTAGTCTCTTGGGATTCGACCCTTGCTTGCCAGTCTACATAGTAGTGGTTAGTTAGGTTATTTTTTTTAGGTACGCGACACGCCTATCAGCAAGTATGCCTGCTGGCACTCCCCATTCTACCACTTCTAGATTCATTTTCCTCATTTCTCTACATAACTCATCAGCCACAATCAAAGTATTCAGTCCATGATTGGTTTTACGACTTAGAGCATCTGCGACTACATTTGCTTTTCCCTCATGATATTGTATGTCTAAGTCATAATTCGTAGTATATTCTAACCATCTCCTTTGGCGTGAGTTTAAATCCCTTTGAGTGAAAATGTATTTCAAACTCTTATGGTCTGTATAAATCCTACATTTCACTCCATACAAGTAGTGCCTCCAAATCTTTAGCGCAAAAATGATTGCAGCTAGTTCTAAGTCATAAGTAGGGTAATTTACTTCATGAGTCTTTAACTGTCTTGATGCATATGCAATTACCTTCCCATTTGGCATAAGTACAGATTCTAGACCATTCTTGGATGCGTCACTATATACATCATAAATTCCACTATCATCTGGTAGTGTAAGCACTGGCGCTGTGATTAGCTTTTATTTCAAGAGTTGGAATGCTTTCTCAAACTTGTCATCCCATTCAAACTTCTTGTCCTTCTTCATTAGAGAGGTCATAGGTTTAGCAATCTTCGAGAAATATTTCACAAAACGCCTATAATACCCTGCTAAACCTAAGAAACTCCTAACATTAGACACTGTTTTTGGCATAGGCCAACCCTTCACTACCTCGATCTTTGCTGGATCTACTTCTATCCCATCTTTGGAACAAAATGACCTAACAATGCTACTTTCTCCAACCAAAACTCATATTTTGAGAACTTTGCGTAAAGCTTGTTTTCCCTTAGTGTTTGCAAAATTGCCCTTAGATGTTCTACATGTTCTTCTTTACTCTTCGAATACACCAGTATATCATCTATGAACACTACCACAAACTTGTCCATAGATGGATGAAACACTATATTCATCAAGTCCATAAAAATTGCTGGAGCATTCGTCAATGCCAATGGCATTACTGTGAACTTATAATGTCCATACCTTGTTCTAAATGCAGTCTTGGGAATATCTTCATCTGCAATCCTAAGTTGATAGTAACCAGACTTTAAATCAATCTTAGAAAACACAGTTGCGCCTCTCAACTGGTCAAATAGGTCATCAATCTTTGGTAATGGGTACTTATTCTTTATGGTGACCTTATTTAACTCCCTATAGTCAATACATAACCTCATACTTCCATCTTTCTTCTTCACAAATAACATTGGCGCTCCCCAAGGTGATGCACTTGGTCTTATGTATCCCTTTTCTAACAAATCCTGCAATTGTTCCTATAACTCACTTGTTTCGGGGTTTTCTGATGTCCTGCGGGAGAGTTACAATTCCGAGACTGGAACCGGACGCCTGTACCTGCAAAATAACGGAGACTCCTGAGAGCTCCGCCTCCAACGGTCAAGTTAGTACCCGATTAAGGAGTAATCAATACAGAAATTAAAGTAATGAGATCTCTCTAGGTGAGAGTGCTTAGTGTTGGTAATCTGCGTTGTTAGCGAGATTAGCCGGTTGTTAATAACTCTGTTCTTCTCTGCTTGATCTCTTAATTATTCGATTCCCCGATTAATGAGGATTAATCGAGTATTTATAGCCTTGGGAAGCGTGCAACTCTCTAGGTTTAAGGTAAACCTAGGGCTGACCGGGCCTCTAGACTGGACTGGGCCTTGATGGCCGGTTTTCCCATTTGGCATGGGCGGACATGTGGCGTGTCTTAAGTGGTCCGTGGAGGACGTATCTGTGATTGACACGTGGCAGGTTCCTGTTGGCCTTCGTGAAGAACACGTGGCGGAACCTGGTTGGTCCACTTGTCAGACGGTGATTGGTGGATAAAAATCCCCTAATCATTTGCCCCTCACAGGTGGCACGCGACTGGTCACGTGTCGCCTGTGACAGGTGTCGCACGGTGACAGGCGACGGCCTGTTACAGGTGTCACCTTGCAGACGGCCGAGAGATTTTCCCGCCCAAATTTTGAATTTGGAAGCGACCCTTCGCCTTCTCACTTTGCCTATAAAAGGAAGTGCTGACTTCGGTCATTTTCACATTTGAGAACTTTTGCGAGAACATTCGGACCCCTGAACTTGCTCTGACATTTCGGACTTTTTCTGCCTACCGCCTGTTCTGACAAGCCGACTGACCCGAACTTTCAGGACTTCATCAACCGTCACTCGTTCAGGTAACTCAGTTCTCTTACTCTTAATTTTCTTTTTATTTTTTGAAATGGCACCATGGAAGCACACGACACGCCCTAAGTTAGTGATCAGCCGGTCACCGGGGACGGCTGAATCTAGGACTAGGAGTGCCGCCTGCCCTTTTCTGGACCCATCTTTGCCCTTTATACAAAGTCCGACTGTATCTGTGTCTATGCAGAACGTGATGGCCAGAACAAAAAAGACTTCTA